CATGAAACTCAGCTGGAAAGACACGATCCCGCACAAACTGCTCCTATTGATAGTGCCGTTGGGTTCGAGACTGGAACCAGCTTCCCAGCACAACATATTCTGGACCAACACAGAAACCGGAACCGGGACTGCCGGAAACTCCTTGCCCACTTCCAAACCCGTGTCAAACCTGGTGCCATGACATGGTGCATGACAACCCATGCCGCTACAGTCAAAGTGGAGGCGAGTGATTGCAGTATGACAGAATTTTCCGGTCATCGTGTTCCTTCACTCTGTTTTTTGCTCAAACCTTCGTAGAATATTCGGCGAACAGAAGCTAGTCTTTGGGTCGTTGGCAGAATTATGTCAGGCTTCATACATTGGATTGGTGTTGCTTTTCGCGCTATATATATAATCAATAGTTTAATTATATATTATATATACCTAGAACCTGAACAACCTCTATTTTGGACCACAAACCATCCCAAATATGGCCTTTTCCTATCAAGACAGAGGTCAAACGGGTTCCAGGTATGTATATACACACATGATTATATATGCTAGAATCTCCAACTGCACACATGTTCTGCCTTTACACTATGATACCAGCCAAAAGGCAGACATGTTGCATTGTTGAAAGATCATGAAAAGATCCCACCCTAAGAGTCCGGGCCCTCAAACAAAAAGGGTTTTAAGGGCCCCGACCCTTGCTATGTTGCTATGGAGGGTCCGACCCCTGCCATGGAGGGCCCAAGGATTCTTAGGGTATATCATATAACAAAAACCATATATATATATATGTATATAGTATATATATATCGTATATATATATATCGTATATATATATATTACATATATATATATACATTGGTTTTAGACTCACACAACTCTCGAAGGAAAAAGCGGCCCCGACTCGCCTGACACCCGTGAAGACGAGACACGGCTGAGGGCGAGTTCCAAAAGAATCAAGACGACTGGGAAGCACATTTGGCGGGACACAGGCTGTGTTGACGGCCCCGCAACCACCGGTGTTGATGGATTTTATAGTTGTAGCTACCTACTACACTAACCTATACTATACTACCCTATATACGCTATACTATACTACAACCACCTACTGTACTAACCTATACTACCCTAAGCCATCTCCGTCCCTCCACCACTTTCAGCATCTTTCTTCTGCAATAGCATTGACGTCCACGAGACTGGACTCGACCATCAATGCTCGGAGGACGTGACCGGAATCCAGGACTTTTCCGTCCTTACTTCAGTGGTGCCAACGATAGTTGGACTGGACTCCGTTCGAGTAGTGGTTGATTGAGGTCGGAACAGGGTTGTTTTGGATGCAACGCTTGGTCACCGAACTCGCTTCAGCGGACGTTGTAGGTCAGAACAGGGTCGATGAGTCAAACACCCAAGGAGGGGTGGATGATGGTGGATGGATGAGAACACAACCAAATGGCTAAGTCATATATTGTTGTAGGAGCTTCCCTTTTTTGCCAGGTGTGTGGTTAATGTTGGTTTTGATCTCATGCTTTGCGCGCCTCCTTCATTTCTTCATGAATTAGTTCAAGGGAAAATCTACAGGAAACCCATCGTCTTGGGGGTGAACACCATGCTTTACGTAGATATTCCCTTAAACCATCGATCCATCGAATCTCTTCCGCTTCCGCACGCTTTCTGCTTCGCGCAGGCGCAGCTTCGAAGATGAACTCATCGCGGCATCCGAGAAGGTGCGGCGGTTCGTCCGACCCGCGTGGCGTGTCGATGGTGGCGTGTCGATGGTGGCTGCTAGGAACAGGGCATCGCTACGAACGGGGCGCTCCTTGGCTTACTATAGGAACAAGAAGCTACTAGTCGCACATGTGTCTTTCTGGTCAGTTTCGGGGTTGGACGATTTTCATGGCTTCAGTGGAAGGCATGAAGGGATCAGTCACTGTGCTTCATGAGCACAACAAATCTAGATGCACATCGTGTCTCATGGAACTAGTCAACCTCGTCACAACCCAAGGTTCACAGATCCACCCCCTCATGTTCGCAAAGACTGCCCTTACTATATACGGTAAACGGATTGTACTGTTAAAAGGCAGAAACACATGATCTAGCTTGTTTGTTCATAAACCCTTTAGTGAAACAACCATGGACACATTGTTGTAAAGCAGCCTCATGTTTCTCAAGTAAACTTCCTGATTCCTTCCTAGATGTTTCTTTGAGAGCAGTGGGCAGGGTGTTGCCACCCACCGAAGGGCAACCGGCTGGGTGGTCGCAGGCTGCTGCACACAAGGAGCACGTGCGGCAACAACACGCAGCTTGGCTCAAGCTGCTGCTGCTGCTGCTGCTGCTGGTGTTATGGGTGCATGGATGATTGATGGCCTGACCATCTCAATGGTGTGTGTGTAGAATTGCGGACCACATTGTTCTTTGCCGCTGTAGAAACCATCAGATTTGCCTTGCGTCTCTGGTGACTTCTTGACTTCTAGCTACTGTACTACCTCTAGCGGCCTACCCCCCCCAAAGAGAAAAATAATCATTGCCCAAAATTGGAACACCTTGTTCTTTCACCCTGTGTCTTTTCCGGTCCAAATTCGATACCCGTCCCCCCGCCCCCCAGGACCTCCTGCTGCGGCAGTGGGCGATGGGGGAGGTGAGTTCACGCGGTCAGAACGTGGCCCGAGGTGGTGAAAGAGAGGAGCATGCTCACCTTCGGTCTAAGCAAACTTAGGATCTTTTGAGATGTGTTGGATGTGTTTTGAGTCTGTCCACGATGGTAGTGTTTGGATGCTTCAGGTGGTTTTTGAGCATGTTTTTCTTTTTGGGACGCCAAACAAACAGTGGTTAGGATGAGAGGTTCCAGATTCTAGAGATTCATGACACAGACACGGATTTTTTTGACACTCTCTGCGGGAATGAGCGACTGGAAGTTAGGTGTTGCAGACAAGCTTCAGCTTTTTTGGTTGCTTTTAGCGGTGAATCACTAGATGCCATGTGGTTTTGGGGGGCCGGAGGCTGAGGCTGATACTTCATGATTGAAAGTGGGAGAGCGAAACTGTTGATTGAGTTGAGTTTTTTGCACATAATCTGGATCTTGGTTTTGACAAACAGTGAACAGAATCAAAAAGCCTAAAGCAACGAATGGACAACGGCTACCAATTGCAATCAATGAGGCAACCCAGCACAAACAGAAAACACACTTTCAAGACCCAAGACAGGAAGACACTCTCAGCAATCCCATTCTTTGGGGGTGTACACATATGTATACTATGTAATTTGTTTTTCTTTCATATTTGTTATATACCTTCTCTGGTTGTTCTTTTTTTCAATTTGTTTCACAGAGTCTTACAGTCTTGTCATTCAGTCCCAATCCCAGGGATTTTCCCCTGGACCAACCGGCAGCTGGTTGTCTGCCGCTGCCAGGCCAAGGGGCTTTTCAGCCAGACCTACAAGTCCTGGGCGCAGTATGTGAAGAAGGCCAAGCTTTTTGGACGCGGAAGCGGGGGAGCACCGTACCTGTTGAAAAGGCCGTGTGCCAAGCACAGTGGCACCAGTGCATTGTCTTTAGGTTTCCGAACGAAAGTACATCTATAGGAATTCTGGCAGTGGTCTTCTATTTAGGACCCTTGGGGTAAAGCTATAGACATACTTGGCTCTCAGGCTTTTCATTTTCTGAAGTCCCCGTCTTTGTCTTCCAGGTACCTCTTACTGTCGCGAGGGATGGTCCTGGATGGAAGGGAGAAAAGATCCAATTCGGCCAGACTAGACTATGACTAAGAGCCAAGAGCCTTGCCGATTCAAAGGAATCGTGCTTTTCACTCCCCATTCAGCTTTTGGTTGTGTGCGAACAGTAAGACTGCTTGGGGCTGTTTTGTGTGGCATGTGGCTCTGATGTTTTTCTGGCATTCTGATTCTTGTTGTCATTCCTGACCGGATATTCACTGGGACATTTGTCAAATTCTTTCGGGAGATTCCTTTTATGATTTTTTTCTTTATGCGTGTTTGAGTTCTGCATGTTTCCTGTTTCCACATGTTCAACACCAGTTGATTGGCCCGTGTTGCAGGAAAAGACACGTCGGAGAGCGGCCGCCAACATCCACAAGGTGAGCAAATGGGCAAAGGACTTTGGAAGATGTATACACTACAGTGTACTACAGTAGAGTTACTGGCCATTGGCCATTGGTCTTTTCTTGTATACAGTAAGTAAGTATCCGTAGGTGACCATACGTAAGCCAGTTGTTCCAAAGAGGGATTAGATGTGGATTGCCCCGAATTGCATCAGACAAGAGGGAAGCACTCTTATTTTTGCCCAACCCATAGCCCTGGAAGGAAGAATGGTTGAAAAGAAACTCCTATCAGACATTGCGGTACCGTGTCGTACCGTGTCACCAAGTTTGGCAGATGCTGTGGGTGACTTCCATGGAAAGGGTCCCATCTATAGAAAGATTGAAGTAGGACTCCTGTTTGGCTGAAAGCCCACTGAAGACTCCTTTTCGAGCAGTGCCACTCTTTCTGGTATTCTTGGATTCTGCATTGGCTCAAACCTGGACCGTCCACAGCTCTGTACAGACGATACACCGAAAGGAAGAGTCGAAGAGTATCAGACCATTTTGGACCTTACAAAACAGTATCAGACAAGTTTTGATCCATCAATCATGAAAACACATGATGATCTCTAAGACTGTAAGTGACTAAGGCTTATGACCTCCCTCGAACTTCTCTCTAACCTCGTTTCATAGAGGACAGGTGAGTGATATGGATAAGAGTCGATGTGAAACAAATGTGAACCATTCCAGTCACCGCCCTGAGCACCGGCTTTTTGTTTGGCAAAGGTCGTCCCCAACAAGATCGAGTTGTGCGTGTTGGTGGGCTATGTTCGCATCAGTAGAAAGGCCTGCAACAGCAACATCATCATCATCATCATCATCATCATCATCATCAGCAGCAGCCTCAACCTCAGCCTCATCCTCATCCTCATTCTCATCCTCATCCTCATCCTCATCCTCATCCTCATCTATCACCATCCATCACCATCCATCATCGGTAATGTGATAAACCGACATATCCACTCAATCCGCGCCCACCTTCGATTTTCCGTGCCCGACTCATGGACTGGGACTCCTTCCTCCATTCCTTGGCGGGCAAGCGGGTGGTCTTGTCGGGCTGTGGCGGCGGGAGCGATGTCCTGGGCACTAGCGTGATCTACGCGCGGATCAAGGACACAGCCAAAGAGGTTTCCGCGGGAGGGAGAGTCCCGCGGGTGAGCGGATTGGTCGATCGCACGAGTCGGTGAAAGGGGGCCCCACTTGTTTCCGCATGGCGTGTGGCGCATGTGGTTCTCAACAGTTTTCTCACCGTTGCTCCCAACCCAACAGATTTGGGAACGCATCCGTGGGAGCTCATCCGTTCTATAGCTCACAGCTCTGGTTCATAGGAACACATCTCTCGGGTGACTGGAAGTTGGACAGGCGCCCAGCTTTTCAGGCACTCGTGACTTGCGGATGTTTGAATGCTTCCCACATGCCCCGGATCTGGAAAGGGCACTGGGTACAGAGGGATCTGGCAAGAGTCAGCTTTTCAGGTGATTTTCTTCAGCCTCAGCTTCACCAGGGACGAGCTGCTGCAGCAGAGCTGCCGGCGGATCAGTCGGAAGTGTTGGCTCGTGGAGCCCCACAATGTGGCTCTCAGAGATGATCCGGAGGAGCCGAGAAATCACCCGATGTCCGCTTACAGCGTTCGCGTTCGTCCGCGTTCGCATCCGCGTGGAGAGGTGTTTTTTCGGGACTCTGAAAGACCGAAAGGTCCAACGAACCGAATGACTCCTCGTTTTTTCGCGGCGTCTTGCACGTCGTGGCGTGTAGTGGTCGAGGGAGTTTTGACTCATCGTCGTGGTGTTATGTGGGTATGTCATGCTCCTTTCTTGGCTGGATTTTTTCACATTCACTCATGTTGGCTCCTGCCAGAGCTCAATGGATACTCCTCCACTGACTCCACTGTTGTGGTGGGTTATGCCCCATTTTACAGGTGGTATGAGCTGGTCTCCCAGGGGCATGTGTCCAGTGTTCCATCCGAAAGCCGAGCCACAGGGAAACGGTCGGAGAATGAAAAGAATGGCACACCAAAACGGAAGCCTGGCACACCCACCAGGTCTACTGTGGAGTACATCGCCGGAGTCGGCTGCGCCATCGTTTCTTCCCCCCGCAAAATCCCCGACGCGCTACCTTCTGCGACTGCAGGAGAAGGTCTACTTTCCCGAGGCGCGCATGGCCAACGTCACCGGGCAGCCCATTTACACGCTCTCGCATTTTGCATCCATCCAGGAATACACCGCAGCCTATGAGGTCGGAGATTGGGACGTTCTCCCTCGTTGACCGGGTGTTCGGAGGTGTTTTTCTTCTTATAATTTATAATGGTTATATAATGGTTGGCCTGAATCAAGGAAAACAACTCAAATCATGTCTCTTCTCAGGACAGGCTTCTCACTCTTGACCTCCAAATGTGTGACTTTACTGAGGATGTTTGCGGCAGAAAAGTGGTTCACCCTTTCACCCTCTCAAGAGGATGGGTTGGATGGGTTTCCACTTCGGCCGGTTGGTAGATCAGGCGGCTCTCGGTTACTTTGGACGGCGTTTCTTTGGTGGGCACCTCGCTGATGTGCTGATCTTGTGTGATGGTGGCTGCGACGTGCTGCTCACTGGGCGGGAGACAGGCTTGGCGACCCCTGTGGAGGAGTTAGGGATACAGGGGGGAAAGGAGTTGGGACGAAGTTTCGATCTTTCTCCCTTCTTCCTGCCAGAATGCCAAGGACCTTCAAGGACCTTCGACCTTTGAATCACCCCAAGATGTCCTGTGGGTGAATCAGGACATGGCTCACCTGAGAGCTGTTCAGCCGCTGGACATCCCGAAGAAGTTCATATCGGCCCTGGGTGCCAACGTGGACTGTGCCCATGGCGTGGTTCAGGAGGACCCGGACGTCTGCTGTGTGGCTCGGTGTGGCCAATCAGAAGGCGGTCGGTCAGAGACTCCACATGATGCTGGCCGTTTTGGGGTGAAACCACGCATCAAAAATCATTTGGACCCTTGTGTTGGGGTTGCAAGCAGGTAGACTGGTTGCAAACTGCAAACCGCGACGATGGGTCGTTTTCGGAAACGGACCGGACGACCGGACGTCAAAAACGTCAGGGATTCCACATGGATTCACCAGACTCTGCGTGATGACTTGCTATTTATCGGGTTTACTTCAGCTGTCGTCCCCAGTTGAATGGCTGAAGGACTCATTTTCCATTGCATCCAGTTGTATAGATTGTACGTGTAGTGTCTTCTGTCAAGTTCTACAGTATCATCTACAAGCTCTCTTTCTAATGATATATTAATATGGTTTATAGAATATAGGTATAATAAACAAATAGAAAAAATATATACATATATACATATATACATTATATTCGTACATATTTCATCGCAATCATGTCCATTTTATCCCCGTGGGCGTTGGCGCGTGGCAGGAATTGGATTCCCGCTTGGAACAGATGCAGCGCTCGGGCACCATGCTCTTGAGCCAGCCGATGCCGGTCCCTGTCAGTGGGTTTCGGAGACCGGGTGGGTTACACTCAGAACTGACAGGGACCGGCGGTTCAGGGGTTCCCCTTCGAACTTGAGGTGTGAGGAGCGACACCCATCCCGGGGGTGCCTGCTTAAAATAGTTGATTTGATTGAACCTAAACATGGCTTGATATCTGGAGGAACCTAAACATGACTTAAAACAATAGTTGATTGAACCTCAACATTACATTCATTTTGAGCACTTCGTGGGTTATCCCCACTGGTTTTGCAGTGGATGAATCCCACTTGGTCCAGGATTGACCTCGATGATCCGGCGGGCCAATATTTTGCCGAGCTAGTCTCGCGGTGCGTGCCCTCTTGTGGCGTGGCGAAGAAGAGTTGCCACATCCGTGGTATGTCATTCTATACAGAACACTCAGCACACATTTGATGAACAGATTTGTTCCCTGGCCCCCTTCGTTTCATAGACACCATATCCAATCCATATCCCTAGGCCCTATGAAATGACTGGATAGGCATCCAACCTCACAAACTACGGCAGAGATCATGCGGACAGAACTGGCTCATGGGACCATCCCGACCCAACGGGACACCAGCAACATCCTTACCCATGAGTCGTTTGGTTCCCTTTCCTGACTGGTGCGACTCGTAGGGAATAAGGGAATGAGCATGAATGAGCCCCCAATAGAGATTGAATCCAGCCACCCTCATTCCCTGCGAGTCGCACCAGTCAGTTTCTGGCGGATTCGGATTCGGCGCCGGCTCCAGGTCGGCGTCGTTTCGTTTCGGATTTGGCGCGCAAGAACGGTGCGGCACGGCCAGGGCGGCCAGGGCGGTCGAGTCCGGCCCCTGATGGCCCCATGATTTTGGAGTTGAAAGGGCCATGGGGTCCACGGATGTTTTGCCTTAAGAGCACTCCAGTGGATCATCCAGTGGATGTATCCGAAGCGAACATCAACTCAGTGTGGGGTGGAAGAACGGGGGGTTCATCATTGTTCTTCTTTCGTGGTCCTTCTTTCGTCGAAATTGTGAGTTGCCTTGGTCAAGCAAAATCCTTCAAAGCACACCCAGTTGGAAAGAAATCATCCGAATGGTGACTGATTTTCTAGCCAAGCTCATTTGGACACGATTCTGATCTCATTTTGGGTTGTGGATAGTTGTGGATACCTGGAATCACCAGGGTTCAACTCATCAGGCTCCATTGTCCAATCGCTGGTCTTGGCGGCGATGGAAGGCCATGTGGGGTGTTTCTTGCCGCCGCAGTTGGCGAAGCGGATCAGCAAGAACAAGGTGCCATTGACGGAGCAAACAAGGACCTTGTACCTTTTCCATCTGGAACATGTGGCCAGGGAGGTCTTGTACTTGGATCCTTGGCCAGGAAAGAGATGCTTGTGCTCCTGTCTGGAAGCTGTCTGGAAGAACCATTGAAGGTACCCGGTCGGACGATGGCTTCGTGGAACGGTACATCGCGTCTTCCGGAGCCAGGGAGCCGAGGAACGTTTGGTTCCCCTTTTGGCAGAATGCACCAGAACGCACATGGAAGACACAGATCTGCTGGGTCTATATTAGGTGAATATTGGTGAAGTCTTCCTTGTTTTCATGACCCCTTGGTGTGCGGATTTGCACTTGGTCTTTTGGGTAGGTGACATTCTATTCCTCATTCCTCATGTGGTGCCGGGCTAAGATGCAAAAGTATCGTTCCTACTCGGCGATGGACACCTACGCCCACATTTTCTACGTTTTCTCACTTCTGATCTAAGACCGTCAGACCCTGTCTGACAGGGTCGAAGGTTTTCAGTGTTTAGGTGAGGGTCAGAATTGAAAGGACAGTGTTGGGTTCACCACATCGGGGATACTGGCTTCACCACGCATCTGATGCGCACGCGCTGCGGGGAAGAGTAGTTGTTGGACGGAGGGAGGCATTTTGGATGTTTGTGTTGTTGTTGTTGTTGTTGCCTTTTTTTATATCCTAAATATTATATGTTGTTTCATGAGTTGGCTTTTGGCTTCGGTGGCTTCTGCGGCTTTTGGTTTGTTTTTTGATGGCTTGCTTTTGGATGCTTTTGGTGGTTCTCGTTGCTTTTGTAGGTTTTGGGTGTCTTGGCACAGGTGGAGGTGCTGCAGTTAGTGCTGCGCAGTCCCCTACTTTGTCAAGCCCAGCTAAGTCAACCAAACCAAAAAAAGCTCAATCACAGCCGAACAAAAAAGCCAAGCCCAAGCAGTTTGAACTGCAGCCTCCTCAGAGGCACCAAGAGACTACACTGCTGGGAAACCTCCCTAAAGCCCATAAGGAGCAAGCTAGCAAAACCAAAAAACACAGAAATAGAAACACGTATATGGAGGAAACAAACATGAATAACCAAAACACACATATGTCCAAAAACATATGGAGGAACAACATGTCCAAAATTGACATGGTCGCCTTTTTCGATCATATTTCTGTCACTCCTGTGAGGTTGCAAAGTCCGGTCATTCCTGCTCTCGCCACGTGCGCACCGGGTCTTCGTGGGTCTTCCAGTCTTCCGTGAGCCACGCGGCCACAGTTGATAGACAGCACACCTGTGCCCAGCACCTGTGTCCATATCCAGTGGAATTTGAGTCATCAGATCGTTTGAAAAGCGCCAGTACCCATCTCCTCTAAAAACTTCCAACATCCTCCAATGGCTTCAGGATCGGCTGGAACCTCATTTCGACTACCTACGCGTTGCCGAGACCATTGGTGACTTCCAAGCTGAAGTGAACAAGACGACCTGAGCCGAGATGTATCGTGTTGATACAGGCCAACTGCCGTATCGTGCCGTCTCTTCTCCCGTACAGTTGCCTGGCGGCTGTCTTGGGGGTGACTCTCCAGATCGTCAGGCGAGGTTGGATGAAGGGATCTGGAGCAACCGACGCAACTTGGGTCACCGACGCAAGGGTTGTGGCTTTTCCCGGAAAAGACATATTCGCAGCTCCACTATATGTGCATCAGACCTTTCATCGGATGGGTCGAGTACATTCCATCAGTTGTTTGGCCATCCCGGTTTAACATGAGGCTCTCCCTGGGGGAGACTCACCACTGTCATCACCGCATTCGGATCGAACAGGAGCACATGCGGGTTTGACATGCACAAAGTATGTAGCCTGCAAGCAGATGGGAAGAAGAATGGTTTCTTGGGGGGTCCGGGCAAAAAACACGGCCACAATGAACATCGAACCCAGACTCTCCAAGTATGGAATATAATGGACAAAACAGCATGTATACATACATATATACATATAATATACATTCATACTTACCCTGAAAGCACCCCAGTGTATGGAAAATATGCCTGTCCCATGGGTCATGTCTGGGTCGGTGGGACATCCTCTTTCAGCGTCGACCCAGACGTTGTACAGGTGCTCCCTGGACTGAGGAGCATGGCACTTTTGTCTTGTTTGAAAGTCAGAGACGGCCCTGGAAACGTCAGAGGTCTCTGGGAGACGACACGCCTTTCATGCAGCGGTGTGTGCGCTCCCAACCGTTGGAGAATGAAGAAGTGGCCCGAAAAAGATTTGCTGAGTTCTGAAGGCACAAAGACAAGCATGGAATCCCAAGACTAGCATGGTTTCTAGAAGCTAGGCTTCTTGTGATTGTCCATCTTCAGGTTCTGTATCATTTTGAGAGGTGCTGGGCTGCCGCGTGTACTTATTCTTATTATATATTACTATTTTTTGGAATCAAATTGCTTCTCAAAATAATGGCCCTTCTCAATTTTAGCATTGCTGTTATTTCATTCCTTTTCGACTTAATCATTACTAAGATTCTCATCCTGGCCACTTTCAAGACCATTTGATGAGCTCCTTTTCGGTGGTTCCTACTGGGAGGTTCCAGACGGGACCCTATACGGCTCCAGCCAATCACTTCTGCTCGACGATCGGAGATCGGAAGACCTGGTGAAGGGTGAAGCCCCCCTGCTTTGAACACTGTGGTCTAAAAAAGACGCCCAATGGGAGCGATAGGTAAGGCCCTGTGCACCACACGCGATAGATTGGGGGGTGAGCATTTTTGCTCACCCACCGATGTGTGGCGTTTGGTGCACAGGGCCTCAGCTTTGGGTAGTTCCATTCACTCCACCCGCAGAGAGGTCCTTCACAGCCTTTAAAGGAACCCCAATCTAGACCTCCCCTGAAGTTGCATTGTAGACCAGCATAGGTGCACCAGTTTGTATGGTGTTCCAACGTGTCCTTTCTTCGCGCTATCGTAGGGCCATTCTTTTTCGGTGGAGAGGATCTTCCATGACCGCCCAGTGGTTTGTCAGGTTTGCGCCCAGTGGATTATGGGGAAGACCAAGGGCCTACTGCAGAGCTGTGTATGGGCATGGTCGAAAGAGTCTGGTCACTCAGAGAAGTCGGGGCCATGCGGCGCAGCGCGGTTTCCACGCAGCACATGGCATGATCAACTCCCAGTGAATCACTCACCGCGTATTTGGTTGAATCACCAGGGCCCGTATACGGTGTCCATTCCTAGCCATCATAGGGGTGCTCATTAGACACCCTTTTGTGGGTCCGGGTATATTTTATGCCTATGGACATGAGCAGAGCAAAGATGTACAACAAGAAGCAAGGCTGCACCTTTTGTCAGGTGTTGCTACCCAGTGTTTGGGGAAGGTGTTTGCGGTCGTGCAGCAAACCCATGTTCAGCCGGGAAATCCACTTTGTTGCTGTACTTAGCATGTATCGAGGGTGGTTCCTTCTCCGAACTTCAATTTGATGCGACAGCTGCCCTGAATGATTCGCGTCTCCACGCACCCCGCCCTCCGTCCTTGGGTCCTTGCTCTCCTGGTCCTTTACACAGCCACTCCCAGCATGGCTCGTTCTGCTCCAAAGTCCTGGTCATCCTGGCAGCCCAAGGTGTAAACCACGGTGTACAAGGTGTTTACCGCGAGCAAGTTTGATTTGGGGTCACTGATCTTATACAAGACTTGCTTTTCCAACCGTGCGAGACGGTACGCACCCCCGCTCCCTCCCTCGCGCCGGGTCCTGGTCCTCAAGGTCCAAGGAGAGCGCACTGATCTTACGGAGGGAGAAGGTCCGGTCGAGTTCGCGGGCGAAGCGCAGAGCCAAAGGGGCAGGTGAGATATGGCTTTGGAAGACCAATTAAGGAACGCCCAGGCCCAGCGCCATTTTCCTTGATTGTTGTGAGTCGCGAAAGTAGTGAAATAAGATGTGACTGCCTTGTTGCTCGCTTTCTAAAGTTTGGAAGCTTCAAAACCTCAAGGTCGTCCTGGAGAGCCTTTCAATTGGCCTGCACAGAGGGTTTGCGTCGTTCTGATTCGATTGCACGTCTGACATACCTTGGAGAGACATCTTTGATGTGAGTAGGGCATCTGCAGTCCATCTCTTTTCGAAGCAGCAGAACTCCCATTTTGGACGAAACTCCCACGGCCCAGACCGATCTCCGTGAGTCCCAGAGCCCGGCTTTGGAATTTTGGAAGCCAACATGCTAAAACGTGGGTTTGGAGTGCGGAGAACTGTCGCCTGGTTCGTGACCACACACACATCCCTACACACCCCTCCTCCTCTTCGGCTTCCGCGGTCGCGGTTGCGCCCGAAGTGAACATCCCAGGACATGGAGAAGGTGCTGCGGAGTGAAGGGAGGATGGCCGGGTTTCAGGTCTACGGGCGGTTTCTGACCCAACACCACTAAGAGTAGAAGACCAAAAAAAAACCCAACGCCGACATAGATGATGCACTCCAGATTTCAGTAGCCCCTGACCAGAGCCCTGTTCTGCCAACGCGAAACAGGGCGTTTTCCACCCTACCCATCGGTTCGGAATGTCGAAGCTTGGAAAAGCACACCGACACACTGCTGCTTTGAGACTCCGCTTTAAATCCTCGACCAGGCTTTTTACCCCAAAGACACAGCAAATTTGGTTGTGTCAGAGTGTTGCAGGCAAACAAACCTCTAAACTCAAGGAGTTAGCCTCTCTGAAATAGTCATGGAAGTTGATGGCATGGCCCCTGGGCCCTGGGATGACCATTTTCCTGTACAAACCAGAGGATTGTCCACTCGCATGTTTGTTGGAGGCGACCTTGAGGGTGGATCGTTGGGAGAAGCTGACGATCGTTGGGGTTTTACCGCGCACAAGGAACCCCGTGTGTTCCATCACCGGCGGGCTGAACATACCGCACTTGGTGCCCATCACCAGAATGGCTGAAAAACGGAAACATTTTTCATGGGGCATCCATGGCATGATGCCAGGGTCTGAGTACAAAAACCAATAGAACATGATAGAACCGTTTTTGGGATTCTCTATCAAACTGTATCACAGAAGAATACCGCATTATCGAAGAACCTTTCTTTTTTGGGATCCCCCCAACCACGCATGGGCCAACGGGGCCCACATGGAGACTCCCACCACGCCCGGCCGACCGGCTCGAGTGACACCGGCTCGACGCTCGCGGGTTCACGGGGTGAACTCGGGGAGTCTGCGCATTTCGCGAATGCCACCGCCACAGGACGCCGGGCGAACGGGTGCTGGGACACCAGAAGGCAGAAACCACCATCTCACTGCAGAAGCCTTGTAGACAAGAAGTGGTTTGCCGTTCTCACTTGTAATCCTTGGATTTTATGGTTTGCAGAATCCACTTCTCTCAACGAGGGACCTGATCGACTCGAGACCGACCTCAAGATGTTTGAAGGAAAGATCTCAAAGCCCCAGGTGTTCTAAACAGCTGCGGATCGGATAGCTGGATGGGATATCCTGGAGAGTGTTTCATGTCACGGATGGTGGGTCCGTTAATGAATCGCCTGGAGAGCAGCCACGCTGAGTAACAAGACTTCCAACATATGATATGGCTGGGCTGAGCTGTGAAAAAGACTCCTGGATCCACACATGCTGCAGCGGCTTGGGGCTTCTTGGATTCCCTGCTGGTAGGTCCTGATGTGGTAGGTGGTTGGCAGTCATTCAGGACCAACAGGTGGTGACGAAGCAGATCATTGAAGAGCACCATCGAGAGACTGGATTCCCAGTCTGAGTTGAGCTGCTCCTCGTTCCGTCGGCACCATGTTGTTCTTGCAGTCCCCCAAATCACTGGCTGCCGTGGCTGGCTTGGACTGTCAAGATGTTCTTTATTGACCTTCAGGACATTCCTCCAACGTATTCAAGAAACGATAGATCCGATAAGCTGCTGGGGAAGCCAGGCCCCAAAATTTTTTAGTGACGCTGGGCGAGATGCTTCCAGAAACCCTTCCAAGGCTGGCCTCACAGGTCACAAGACGTCTTTCAAGTTGGGGTCTAAAGTCAGCTGCTCCA